TAAAAACGAAGAATACAAAGAACTGCCAACAAAAAATCCCCCCCCCCAAAAAAAAACGTTTTTTTAATTTATTTATCAATTTATCTTCTCCACCTTTTCTGGTTTTTATTTTTTATAATTCTATAAAATTATCTGTTTCCAAAAAAAAAAAAAAAGGGGTGCAGGGCTTAAAAATCCCTACAACCCCATATATATATATACTAGCTAAGCGCCCGTAAAAATAAGAAACGTTGTGGAGAACCTGACACAGACCACTTGCATAAACTCAAACGGACTTAAAAAAAAAAAAAATTTGAATCACAGGGTAATAAAGAATAGCCCGAAATTGGCTACGAAGTCGAAGTTTAACTAACGATTAATTTATTTATTTTTAATTTAAATTTGATGAAGGATTTCGCTGCAAACCTAGGGCAAAAGTTGTTCAGTTTAATTTTCCTGCATAACATAGTTCTGTTTTGGAGTTTTTGGATTTTTTTTTTTTTTTTTTTTTTTTTGCTGGGACCTTTCCTGCTCCTTCCACGGGCTGGCCACCCGGGAACCGGGCCGCCCGGCTGGTAGGCTAGAAAATCATTAGAAAAAAAAGTAGGAGGAAGGGCGAGGAGAGACAGAGATAAACAAAGAGAGATAGAAAGAAAGAAAAAGAGAGAGACATAGAGAGAGAGAGAGAGAGAGAGAGAGAGAGAGAGAGAGAGAGAGAGAGAGAGAGAGAGAGAGAGCAACAAAAGAGCAAAGAATAAAGAAAGACCAACACCAGTATACAAAGAGAAGAAGTTTAAATTATTTTCTTATCTTTCTCTCTCTCTCTCTCTCTCTCTCTCTCTCTCTCTCTCTCTCTCTCTCTGGCCCCCCATTTATTTATCTCTCTCTTCCTATTTCTCTTTTAAGGGCAATTACTTAACCGAAACCGAAGTTGACCATAAAAAAATATGTCATTAAGACAACGCTTGGACGACCACCCAATCAACATCTTTCTCTTCTTATCTCTCTTATAAGACCGATAGACTTCCTTCACTGGAACGATACTCTTGCAGCACCTCAAGAACAGAAACTTGTTGCAACACTTTGCGACGATACTCCTCAAAAGTTCTGAATCGATCTTGTCTTTACCGATTGTAATCAAGATGAGTTGCAGCATCAATGCATCTCCAAGTGTTCATGCTCGTATTGAACTCTGCTGCTGCTTCCAGAATATCCTGCACCCTATGAGAACTGTCAAGATAGGACAGGTGTGCAAGTGTTTTTTTGAGACCAACAAATTCAAGAGAGTCATAAATGGTATTGTTAAAATTAGAAGAACTAAGTCTTGGTTGTTCCAATGGTCCTGTATGGACATGCAAATGCACAACACAACTGACAGGAGACGGAGTAGCCATAGCGGCCGGCGAAGCAGAAACAACAACAGAAGTAGTGCCAATCGGCGTTGACATATTGGAGGGTGGAGCATAATCCGCAAGACATTGAAAATTTGGAGGAGATGCTGCTTGAAGGGAGAGTCTACGGACCGGAGCGGAATGAGGAGCGGAAGAAGCAACCACAGGAGGAATCATTTTCAGAAGCTGTTGTATATGTGCATATTTGTGAAAGGGTTGGGGAATGGTCCCTTCTGTCGGACAATGTGACAAATCAAATGTCATCCTAGTAACCTCCTCATTAGAGAGAGCAACATACTCATCGGTCAAAAGTGAATTCAACATGGAAGAAGCCTCCAAATCCAAAACATTCAGCGGGTCTGAAGGAAGAGAGAATTTTTGTTTCAAACGCATATAAGTGAGTTTGTTTCTTTTCCACTCGATGAAGTTTTTCCATATTCATGCATCTTTTACGACTGTGACACTTTTGACAAACATTTAAAAAAACACCTCAGTCAAGACATTTTGAATGCCTACCTTCTTCACATCGTTAAATAATCTACCAACGTAAGCGCGTGGATTCGGAGTGCGGATTCTGCGTGCATTGTCATCCTCCGACACAACAATAACCCCCAAACGATCTTGTGGTTTCGATGTGGTGCAAACATTCTTTTCGTGTCCAATGCGTTGAGATTGCAAACACGAGTCACGAGCACGTGCAAGTCTACCGACTTGTCGACAAAACAGAAAAGATCCAAGCGCATCGGGAGGAAACACATTCAGCGCTCTCAGAACATGTGTTCCGGTTTCAACAACAACAGGTTGTCGTCCTGCCTGATTATTAGCAAATGTAGGCTCAAGCAATTCGGGCGAATCCAAAGGATTAGATTTCCTACCACGACTCTTTTTCCTCTTGAATGTAGAATCAAAGTACTCTTCTTTAGAATCACCTGTACTGTCATCATCCTGGTCACCGGGAAATGTAAGGTTATTAGGCCCACCTGACAGACCTCTGCGTGAACCATCCCCATCTGCACGACAACCATCACCACCCTCCTTCACAAACATATTCTCAGCATCCTCAAGGGTATTCCCTCCTGAACAGCGATGTTCAACTTCACCAAGAGGAGCATGATCGCCTCGAGCATGTTCACTTCCAAGATTCACCAGCATCTCATCATTTCCACTCTTTTTCGACCTCTCCGAATGTTCGGCTCTAGCTTTTAATGTAACATTCGTATCATATTGAGTGGTATTGCTGGTTGTCATTGCTTTCCTCTTAGCATGAGTGTCGTAC